TCCCAGAAATTGAAGAGGAAAGAACACTCTTAAACTCAATATATGAGGCCAGCATTACCTAGCTACCAAAGTCAGATAAGGACACTACAAGAAAAGTAACTATAGGCCAATATCCCTGGTAATTATCTTTGTAAAAATTATCAACAAAATGTAATCAAACCAAACTCAACAGCACATTAAAAGGATCATACACCATGATCAAGAGCAATTTATTTCTGGAATATAAAAATGGTTCAGTAAATGTGATATACCATATAAAGAACTAGATAAAAAGCATATGACTATCTCAATAGATGCAGAAAAGACATTGCCAACACAATACCCTTTCATTATAACAACTCTCAACAAATTGGGTACAGAAGGAACATACTCGGGAAGATGTGCTAGAATAGATAAAGATGGCATGGGTGTTGAGCGAGTTTTCCATGGTTTCCATTATGGTAGCCTCACCTACAATGTTATTGTCAGCCCTGGCCTCCTTGTCAACCTGTCTCAAAAGTTCTGCTGTATTTACAAAAGAAAAGTGTCAAATATGATGTAAAGAAGAGAAGAGATGCCATTTTTATAATAGTTTACACAAATTTAATTACCTAATGGTTATATACTTACATTTTTGCTCTCATATGAACTTCAGTCATATTGGGGAGACAGTAGTTCATAGCTATAGCATGGAACATCTCTCTGATGAAATCTAGTTCTCAGCAATGTCCTCTACCAGGACTGTACTAATTCTAGAAAAGTAGATTTTATTGCTGGTATTTAACTTTTCAAGGGTTAGTGAATTAACCTTATATAACCTTCAATACTTTTATCATTCTACATCAGCCGTGGGCAAACTACGGCTCGCGGGCCGGATCCAGCCCGTTTGAAATGAATAAAACTAAAAAAAAAAAGACCGTACCCTTTTATGTAATGATGTTTACTTTGAATTTATATTACTTCACACAAACACTCCATCCATGCTTTTGTTCCGGCCCTCCGGTCCAGTTTAAGAACCCATTGTGGCCCTCGAGTCAAAAAGTTTGCCCACCCCTGTTCTACATTATAATAACTTTTAACACTTATTGAGCACTTACTAGGTGCCTTGCACTATGTTAACCATTTTTATTGAATCTTAATATGCACAGCAATTTTAGGAAGCAAGTGCTGTCACAATCACTAGTTTGCAGATGTGGAAACTGAGACATAACAGTTTAACTAAGTTGTTAGTACAAGTGAATAAGTAGTGGAGCTGGGTTTGACTCAGACAGTGTTGGGCTTCCAAGTCTGCAAACCTCTTACTCACTAAAGCCCCTCTTACTTTACTGTGAACTCTTTCTTCACTTTAAGCAGGGGTGGGGAACCTTTTTCCTGCCAAGGGCCATTTGGATATTTATAACATTATTTGAGGGCCATACAAAATTGTCAACTTAAAAATTAGCCTGCTATATTTGATCAAACATTTCATTAACTCACCCCTAATGCCTTGGCAGGGCCAGACCAAATGATTTTGGGGCCTTTTGGGTCCAGGTGCTGGAGGTTTCCCACCCCTCCCACAAAGAATTAAATACTGAGAAAGGAGATAAGTAAACCTTTAAAACAGTAGTGAAATACCCAAAAGAAGGTTTTTAGAGCTTAGATAAGCGTACTCTTTCTTTTCAGGTACAAAGAAAATAATCTGAAAATAATAAGTAGTACTGGAATATTATAAAGGGTGTCTGAACCAATTATATATTTAAGAAATAACAAGATAAATAACTAGACCTCTATGGTAATATATTGATGTGATTTTATGATTATGTTGATTTAGAAAACTATTAATAGCTAGTTATGTATGTCCAGAATAATAAAATTGCTTTTGAACTCTATAATCCATTAATTTTATTATATTGACTTTTAAAATTAAAATATATCTTTAAAATGTCAATTGGAGCCCTGGCTAAGTGGCTCAGTTAGTTGCAGCCTTGTCCCAAAACTCAAAAGGTGGCAATTCAATTCCTGCTCAGGGTACATACCTAAGTTGCAGTTTTGATCCCCCATGCAGCGCACGTGGGAGGCAGTTCATCAGTGTTTCTGTCTCACATCCATGTTTCTCTTTCTCTCTTCCTCTGTCTCTAAAGTCAATAAAAACATATCCTAGGATGAGGGTTAAAAAAATGTCGTTTTGAGAAATATCTACATTAAGTGTTCACCCTAAAGAATATGAGTGACATTTTCATATGGCATTTAATATTAAATAAATAAATCATTTAAACATCCTATCTAATAAAAGACAAACAGGGTAATTGACTACCTTCGCTACGCTTCCCATTGGCTAATCTGGGCGATATGCAAATTAACTACCAAGAAAGATGGTGGTTAACTGCCAACAAAGATGGCGGTTAATTTGCATATGTAGGCGCAATGATGGGAGGCAAAAGGGGAAGGACTGAAGAATGGTGATCAGAAACCCAGGCGGCAGGTAAGAGCCGGGGGACAGGGCAAAGGCGGCCCATAGGGCCCTATGGGCCGCCTTTGCCCTGCCCCTCAGCCCTGGATTGGAGAACCGGGGCCACCTTTGCCTGCCCCCCCAGCCAGTGATTGCGATTGGAAAGCTGGGCCGCAGGAGCCACTTTGCCCAAGGCCGGCATGCCTAAGGATTTTTTGTACATGTCCCACAGTCTAGAAGCACAGTCAGAATCAAGAAGTGGAGTCTTACCTCAGCGCTGGGGTGTTTAAAAGTATCTAAAAATAGCAGTTCCATTGTGGAGTCCACCACCAAGTTTGCCCCCACGGGAGGCATGCAGAGGACTTCCAGGGCAGCCCTATAACCTCCAGGCAGCGACAGCAGCTCTGGAGAGGGAAAAACTGCAGCACTACCTGTGTCCGAAGTGCTAGCGGTGCAAACCTTGGCCTATCTCCAGCACAGCAGAGAAAAGCTGAGAGAGGAGAGGTGGGTACGGTGGCTCCAGTGGTCCAAATCCTGTCATTGTCTGCATTACCTAGCCTCGGCGCCCTCCAGAGCAGCCTCAGTGCCAGTGCAGAGGAGGCTTTGGAAAGGGTGGTGGTGAGGAGAATGCTTCTGACTCTGGATACCCAGTGAAACTGCTGTCAGGAGCCTTTCTAGGACTTGCAGGAAAACGTGGCAATGAGTGAAGAATAATGTCTCAAAATGAAAAGTTTTTTGTTTTTTTTCTCATCAGCAAAATGTGAATATTACCTAACCCACAGACTTTGCAAGAATTGAAATAAAATTCCAGAAATCATATAATGGCCGGGCTGAATTTAGATAGGTTGGTTGAGCGTGGTCCTGTGCATGGAAAGGCTGCAGGTTCGATTCTAGGTCAGGGCACCTACCTGGGTTTCAAGTTGGATCCCTGATTGGGGCTCCTAAGGAAGGCAGCTGCAGGGATGTTTCTTACATTGATGTTTATCTCTATATATATCCCTCTCCCTTCCACTCTCTCTAAAAATCAATTGAAAAATGAACTAATGCCATATCTACAAACGTGGATAATCTGAAGAAAAAAATAAAAATAAAAAAATAAAGTCGGGGAGCCCTAACTGGTTTGGCTCAGTGGATAGATTATTAGCCTGCAGACTGAAGGGTTCCAGGATCGATTCCGGTCAAGAGGCATGTACCTTGGTTGCAGGCACATCCCCAGTTGGGGGTGTGCAGGAGGCAGCTGATCGATGTTTCTCTCTCATTGATGTTCCTCTCTATCCCTCTCCCTTCCTTTCCATTAAAAAAATCGATATATTTAGGAAAAAAAAAACACGGGTAAAAGAGGTTGAATATGTACTGTATAATTTAAAGTATGTAAAAAAAATATAACTTTTTAGGCGCATATATGTTACCTATACTAAAAAAAGGGTAATATGCTAATTAGACCAGACATCTTTCGTACATCCATCCAGACATCCTTCTGGACAAAGCCACTGTGTTGGGGGCCAAGGCAGAAGCTGTTACAGGCGATCAGGCTGGCAGGGGAGGGCACTTAGGGGCAACCAGGCCACCAAGGGAGGGCAGTTAGGGGTGACCAAGCTGGTAGGGGAGGGCGGTAAGGGGTGATCAGGCAGGCAGAGTGGTTAGGGGCGATCAGGCAGGTAAGCAGGTGATCTGTTAGGAGCCAGCAGTCCCGGATTGCGAGAGGGGTCCTAGATTGGAGATGGTGCAGGCCGGGCTGAGGGACCCCTCCCATGCACGAATTTCGTGCACCGGGCCTCTAGTTTTATATATAAAAGCCATGTCTCCTTAGTATGCTTTTAAGCTTATATAGAACAATCATAAGGTAGATGCTATTTCTGGGTTTTGAGATTCTCCTTGAAGCATTCTTCCTCCCAGATATTTTAAAGGATATATTTAATGCATTTCCAGGTGTGAGTTATATACCCCTTATTTAATGTGGTTAATAATCAACTGGCCTTTCTTCTAATAACTATATGTAAAATAGTTTATTGTCTTCAACTGTCCTTTTAATTTTATTAGTGCTAAGTACTTTTGTGGCCTCTGGATGAAAATTTAGAGCCCCTCATTTTATTCTCCTTACTCTAAAGTGCTTAGCCTTTGACTTGTGAAGACTAGAGAAGTACCTCCACATAGAAGTGGGACTCATACTACACCAGTAGCTCTCCCCAACGACGTCTCCAAACTTCTCTCTTTCAAGCCTTTTCTATATCTGTCTATAATATTAATCTATCCATCTAGTGGCTACGGGCTTGAGAGTCTGTTTGTCATCTCTTTTTTCATCTTGTATGTAGTCTATCATCTAAATGGGTACATCATCTTTTGATACTTCAGCTAAAATATCCATTTTGCACCTTGTCATACAATTAAAAATATGAACTGCTATATAAAATTTCATTACTTATATTATTATTTATCTATTTCATAATTGTGCTTGAGACTCACCTAGAATTTATTGACACCTTTTGTACTCCCCACAGCGTGGAGCTCACTGGTGAAGTGTTAGAAAATGTCCACTAAATCTATTTTGACCTGGGTTGATAAAAAGTAGAACCCTACTCATTTTTACCTTCAGTTTCAGGTACAGCATTGTGTATCTCAGAGTCTGGTAACCCTGGGAAGTTGCAGCGTGTTGAGAAAATCTATAATATCTCTGCTTCTATCAGAAGTAAATAGCTTCATTGATGATCTGGATACCATCAATCAGGTATTTATAACTGAAACTGTACCTCTCCTTTATTGTTAATAGGGCTGTAGCTTTTCTTTCCCATCCCCCCTCTTCTTGCCAGGCTGATATTTTACTTATTACCTTATTTCTTACGTATATGAATACTATTACTGCCTACTGAAATTACAGAAAGCTTTTTTCAGAAAATAGTTTTCAAAATAACATCCTGTTACTTGTACTTGTATACATGTACCAAAGGTGCCACTGGTGACAGCAAAGGAATGCTTAGGTGAAGGGCCTTAAATCTCCAAGCAGGCAGCATGTTCCTAAAGCAAAGCAGTGAGAGAAAGTGGATGGGAAAAGGTTCTGAGTGGAGCATAGCCTCTGACCAGTGGTGGTTCTTCCTAATTGCTGTGAGAATCGTCTGGCTAAATGTAAACATCTAGTTCCCAAGCCATATACCATTCATATTAAATGGGGGTATCTGTGGTTAAACCTCTCCAGGTGATTCCAAAGTGTGTCCGAGGTTGAAAACCAGTGCTCTGAGCCCTTCTATATGTATATCTTATATCACTGCTGACAGATATGTCTAAGAAACAGCTGTCATTCCCATATTGTAATGTTGACTGGTATATTATACATTCATTTTGTTAGCATATTTAAGATTATTGCTGTTTCTATGGTAGAATTAAGTACAATTAAAGGAAAAAAGAGGCTGGTAGAAATGTTTTGGTAAAGAGGAAAAAATTAAGAATACAAAAATGTATGTATATAATTTCAAGTACCTTTAACCAAGTTCTTACTTCTGAGTTCTCTACACTACATTTAATAGCATATGCCAAAAATACTGATAATCTAATTGAATTCAGTGAATGACATGGCAAATCATCTAGTCAGCAGTTTGTTCAAGTGACTACTAAATGGTAAACTCTCTTAAGAACTCTGTTAGGTAATTTTTTAATGTAATTGCTACTGATCTCAAGGACTTAAAAGTCAATTTCCGAAAGAAATAAGGCACATTTTACTAATTAGGAAAAAAGCAAAGTGTCAAAATGCCTAGTGCTGTTTGTAGGAGCTCCAAGATCAAAGAAGTGATCAAGGTAGGTTGCAAGTCCCTGCAAAGACTTCATGAAAAGGGAAGAACTTGAAAAATGGCTTTAAGTTGAAAAAGAGATGATAACAGAATATACAGACATTGCATGTTTTTAAAAAATGTGTGCCCAGGATTCTGAGAAGACAGGTAAGGTCATGGCATTTAAAAACAGGAAGTAATGTGGGAAATTAGCTCATCAAGTAAGATTATTTGTGTGGAGAATAACAAAATATAGAAAAAAAATATTTAGTTATATACTCATTTAATTTTCACAAAACTTCATGAAGTAGTTGTATTTTTTACCTACATTATAATGAAATCAAATTTTAGAGCAGTTAAGTAACTTGACCAAGATTGCAGAAAGAACATATGCTGAAGATATCTCATACCCTGGCCCTCTAATTGTTATGGTGCTAACAATAACACAAGAACAATAACTACGTTTCTGCTGTTTATATGCTTTACCTGAATTGTCCCTATCAATTCTTCTAATAACCCTTCAAGATGTTAGAATTGTTATTTAAAGATGAGGAAACTCTTAGTTGGCATTCTTTCTTAAAAAAATTTTTTTAATTGATTTCAGAGAAGAAGGGAGAGGGGGAGATAGAAACATCAATGGGCTACCTCATGCACACCCCCTACTGGGGACTGAGCTCGCAACCTGGGCATGTGCCCTGACTGGAATTAAACCCTGACCTTTTGGTTCATAGATCGACACAACCACTGAGCTAAACCATCCAGGTTAGTTGGTATTCTTAATAGTAGACAATAAAATTCACTCCAGACAATTTATGCCTAAAAGGATGCAGGAATAGCTATTAAATTGTTGGAAGGGCTAAAGAGACCACATGCCTTATTTCATGAATGACTCCCATAACCACCCAGCAGAATTTAGCTACCAAAGGAATTGCTGTCTTTGCCATTATGACCAGGACACTACCTGCTGAATTAAGAAGCTGCTGTTACAGTCAGAGAGTCCAGAAAACAGTCCAGCCACAATGTACAACCGCCAAACGTATGCCCTGTACCTGTCTCACTCTGTGATTCAGTTTCAACTACAAAGGTTTTGTGACTGCATTTGTTTCTGAACCAACAGCATATACAGAATCCTAGCAGCAAGGAAGTATAGAAAATGCAGTTTTACAGTTTTTCACTCTAGTCCAAGGTGTCCATCATATATAAGGTTCAGAGACTCAGTAGCAAGCTGGTAAGAGATGGAGTCAGAGTAGGGAGTGAAGACAGGGAGGCCATTTGTTTGGGACTCTCAGTGCAATACATCTTCCTCAAGCGGCAATAGAAATAATCACTGGATATAAGAGGCATTATCCAAAGAACTCAAGGAAAGATTTAAGGTGAAAGAGAATTGTAAAACTAAGAGAAGGAAAATGTTACCATTGAGAAGGATTAGGTAACTGGGAAGGAATGCTTGTTTGTAAATGGCATAAGTTGAGTTTGTATATATTAAGTTGAGGAAGCAATGAAGTAATCTAAATTTAGGCAGATATAAATAGTAAATTAAAAACAAGAGAAAGGAGAGGGGCATACATTGAAATTTGGGAAATATCACTATATGGCAATCATGAAATCATAGTCAGAAAGAGAACAGGGACTCAGAAAAGTAAAGTGGAATAGGAAAGGCAGATTTACAAACAAGGAGAGAAGACAAGTTTTACTTTAATATATATGTTAGATTGCCATTATAAAAGTCAGATTAAAATGGTTTAAAATTTTTGTCAGATATAAATAATATGCTTTATATGTAATGTCGTTTTGCAGAAAATCTCTATATATAAAAGCCTAAGCAACCATTTGATCAATTGACTGGTAGCTATGACCCACACTGACCACCATTGGAAACATGGAACAGACTGATGAATCTCAGAGGGAAGGGGGAGAAGAAATTAACCAAAGATCTTACATGCATACTAGAGGGTGAGGTCTGGCCTGCAGGGAACGTGCTGAAACCAGTAGTCTGACATCCCCCGAAGGGTCCTGGATTGTGAGAGGGCACACCCAGACCGAGGGACCCCACAGGTGCATGAATCCACGCACTGAGCCTCTAGTCTGTAAATAAAAATATAAATATTAAAATCATACTTCACATTTGTTTCCTTTATATCTTAGTTTTCTGCTCCCCCAAAACATCTGTATCATATAATACATAGTTTTGTATTCTGCTTTCTCACTAGAAAATGTGATTTTTTTAGTGTCTCAGTAGTATTCTACGTTATTTATGTTCCTTGATTTAGCCTATTGTTGGACATTTAGGTTATTGTTATGCAATTTGACCTCTGATATAAAACTTAACCATTTTCTAAAACTGACTCATGAAGATATATATTTCAGTTGACTTCACTGAATTAACTGCATTCAATCTTATTAGTGATTTGTATCCCAAACTTGAATATTAAGATTTTTGAGAAAGTATATAATAATATCTAATTATAATTAAAAAATAAGCCCTGACTGGTTTGGCTCAGTGGGTAGAGCATCGGTCTGCGGACTGGAGGGTCCCAGGTTCTATTCCGGGCAAGGGCATGTACCTTGGTTGCGGGCACATCCCCAGTAGGGGTTGTGCAGGAGGCAGCTGATCGATGTTTCTCTCTCTTCGATGTTTATAACTCTCTATCCCTCTCCCTTCCTCTCTGTAAAAAAAAAAAATCAATAAAATCTGTTTTAAAAATAAAATAAAATTGCTCAGAACTTCTGAAAACTAATTTTAAAAAGTCGTGATAATTTACTGTTAATAGAATATCTTTCCCAATGTGAATAGCTAAAAATCTGGACTTAGATATGAATTTAAATTTAAGACAAAAGGTGGTACAAACTGTGATTCTGTAGATAGGGAACGTGACATGAGCCCCATGATTGCCTTGACTTTGGGTTGAAGGCCCTTCCTGTACAGGCACAGGTGGAGCCCAGCCATATCCCAGCAGCTTCCCTCAACTGAAGAGACAGGTGGGAGTTCAGGAGCACTGATGTAGGTAGAATTTCTAGGTCATGCTCATGAAGAGAAGAAAACTGAAGCGGAATAGCTCAGGAAATGTAAACAGAGGTTTTCTTGATTATTTGTTGAATACTAAGTTGCATGTATGCAGGACACTTCACCAGGCCAAGTGAAGAAAATCTACACAGGAAAGAACTACAGAGAAGCTGTGAGCTGAACCATGGCCAGAGCTCACACAGTGCTTGGGGCCATCTCAATTCTACCCAGTCATATTGGCAAGACCTTATTTAATGCTCTGGACAGTCAGTAGAGACCCCAAAAGGTTACACCTTAGCAGCACTGTGATTTATAGTCCTAGGATAAAGGCTCTGCTGGATGGATCCTAGCAAAGCTTATAAAGAAGCCCTGAGAGGATCTTGCTGATTCACAGCTAAATTAACTGCCTGCTGGAAGGACACAATACAGAACCTCAACGACATGATGTCTTTCATGTCTGTCGCCCATTCAGAAAGTACATGTGAAGAAGCAAGAATGTACAAATCATAAGCATGAGAAAAAAACATCAATTAATGAAAAATAAAACCAAAAATGACAGAAATATGGAATTAGCATGCAAGTACCAAGATAGCTATTATAAATATGTTCAAAAAAAACATGAATAATAAGGCAAAAATAGGAACTTTCAACATAAAAATATTATATATTAAAGCTGTTAAACACTATTCTAAACATTTCATAATCTTCCAAGGCTTTTACATATTTTTTTAAAATTTAAAATAGCTAACTATTAACCAGTTTTTTGAGAAAGGATGTGTATCCATTTATCTTGTCATCTTTTTCTATAGCTGTGTTTATTTGAATGCTGTTTTCTTGGATGTTGAAAAATTGTTTATATAATGCTGAGGATAAAACTTTCCTAGTATCTTGACAAATATGTGATTTGTATTTCTCCACTTGGAGTTTTTATCAATTGATTTAAATTAAGAGTTTGTAGCTATC